CACTAACCTTCGCCAATGGGATCACAGAGATAATATTTTGGCCAGACGACGCCATATTGTATCATGTTGATGTACCAGCACGATGAATATAAAACATGATATCCCTGTCTTGCCACCTCTTCTACAAGTCTCTGATCACCGAGCCAAACCTGAACAATTGTGTCCCTAGGAATCTAACGTAAAACATTAAAGGAGTAAGCCACAATAGTATAGACTTCGGACTTTTTCAAACATTGGCACTTGTTATTGTGAAAAAGATTATCTCCTATTGTATATTAATAATATGATATTATGTGGTTAAATTTTAGTTTAGAAACAATCTTTGGTTCTGATAAAAAATAAATTTAATTCGAACTTCAACTGAGCTAAAATTCAGTATGCATTTAATTCCTTTCTATGCCATTTCACATTAGTATGTTTTCAGAGGTTTGAGTTTCCTTCGCTCACAATATGTATTGATTCATTATATTTTTTACGCAACCAAGCTCTATGATAAACATGATGACTAACTTTTCTTTCGTCAACTTCCTTACTTATGCCTTAGTCCCATTTTCCGGCCGGTGGCCGTAAACCAGTGGTAATCGGTGGTAATCCGTGGTGTGAGCGATGTCCCAATATCGGTCTACATCGGCCTAGTAGTCCTTAAAGTATCAGTCACATTATTCAAGTATCAGTCACTTATCCAGCGATGCTGTATACGATGAGAAACCGATGTGTTTTTTGATAAAAATAGCGTGGTTGTCGTCCGGACACCTGTAGTAATCGGACGGTGACTGAGGCCATTTGGCGAATAGGTGGGGGTCATCGGTAGACAATAAGTTGTTAAAAATCAGCGATGTCTTCACCGATGCCTCACATCGCTCGTCATCGGCAACCCATCATTAACACATCTTTCAAGGATTGACCGATGTTTGGACGAGCATCGTCAAGTGTCCGTTGAATCTGGGGTCATCGAAAGGTTGATCGGTGGGCAACAGACATCGGCCGAATATCGATCGATGTTCGACCAAACATTACCATGTTCACCAATGTATGAGCGATGTAATATACATCGACCGATTACCCTGGAACAAACACGGCATTTTTATCAAAAAACGTATTGGTTGATCACTATAAACCCCATCGTTTGATAATGTGACTGATACTTTAAGGACTACTAGGTCCATATGGACCGATGTTGGGACATCCCTCACACCATGGATTACCACCGATTACCACCGGTCTACGGCCACCGGCCGGGAAATGTGACTAAGACATCAGCGATGGAGTAAACGATAGGCAACCAATGCGTTTTTTGATAAAAATGGCGTGGTTGCCGGTCAGACTTACAAAGGCCCAGAGATGTATTGCTAATCATAGAACGATGTTCCAGGGTAAGCAGCCGATATATCTTACATCGCTCATACATTGGTGAACATCGTTCGTACATCGGTCGACTATGGGCCAATGTTTGGTCGAACATCGACCGATGATCGGCCGATGTCTGTTGCCCATCACTCAACCCCTCGATGACCTCAGATCAACGGACCTTGTCGATGCTCAGCCATACAAGTACATCGGCCAATCCTTAAAAGATGTGTTAATGATGGGTTGCCGATGAGGAGCGATGTGGGGTATCGGTAGCGACATCACTGATTTTTACCTACAACTTATTTTCTACCGATGACCCCATCGATTCGCCAAATTGTCTCAGTCACCGTGCTATTACTATAGGTGTCCGGCCAGCTACCGCGCCTTTTTTTTTATCAAAAAACGCATTGGTTTCTCATCGTATACCGCATCGCTGGATAAGGTGACTGATACTTCTTGCAGCAATATACCTTAATCACCTGCACACGAAGTATTATATCTCAGTTGATTCGATACGTAAGAGCATGCTCTATGAATGCACAATTTCTAAAATGAGGTAAATTATTGACAAACAAGTTGATGAAACAACAATATCAGCAGTCTCGTTTAAAGTCATCATTTCGTATGTTCTTTGGTCGATACAATGACCTTGTCAGCAAATACAATTTATCATTGAGTCAAATGCTGACTGACGTTTTTCATACTAATTATTAGTCCATTATTTATACATGGAAGTGACAACGGATTTTTCCGTTTTTACCTGATTATGACAAGGAGCACACGACGGATGTGACTGGTCACCATGGGAAGCTCACTCCTCCATGGCATCTGATCCCACTTCTTATGTTTCAGAGGTCATGTTTGCTGTGCTCCTATTTCGTTTTGACTTTCACATTTTACAAACTCTTACATTTAAATTTGACTGGTAAGCTTCTTGCCACAGAATGAATTTGACACCATTTTCCCTTTCCATTGCTATTTTCTGTACATCTTTGATTAACCTATAAAAATATCAAAAAAATGTTTACCTACTTGAAAAATCGCAAAATTTACTTCAATCAACATTTTATGGTGTATATTTAAAAGGGGGGAAAAGATACCTTTCTGTAAAGAAACTCCAGGTGGCGGTCCCTTTATCTTTGAACATTGATGTATTTTTTATCCTTGTGAACAGTTTCCGCACCTCCCGATTTGTGTTCCTGAAGTAAAGAGACTTGGATTGTAAATTTTGTTTTTTTTAAATGATGGATTTAGTGATCTTTTCATTCACCACTTAAGCTCGAGCTCAACTCATGGACCGACTGACTCTTTTATTATCAAAGCAATCTAATAATGTATTTTTTAACTTCTTCCAACTTATCATTCTTCGTTTAATTTTTTCAAACAAACACGTATGCATCATTAACTACATATGTAAACCAAGAAGGAGATGGGTTAAAAAATTGTTAGGTGTGTCTATTGTTGGAGTAAAACAATCGATGAATTGTCAAATGTAAAGAAGAAGGTAAAACAGATCGGTAAATGCAAAGAAGAAAGGTACATTTTTCAGATTTCTTTTGTATCATACCAACAAGCCAGTGGTACCTCGTCGTTTCCAAGATGGACATATTGATCTTTAAAGACTTCTAATACTTCTTTGAAAAATGCAGAAAGAAAAGTGTAGGTTGAGTTTCTAGCGGGGTTCATTGGTCCAAAGTCACCGGGTATTGGACGCTCTCCATTGTAACATTGGGTCAGTAATTCGGGATGTCCGAAGCCCCAGGAAAATGAATGTCCTGTAAATGAAGAGAAATATATATGTATACTGTCGATAGGATTCTCTTGCTAGCGTTTCCCATTATGTTTATTTTACTGATCTTTTTGCATCGCTTATTGTCATTGATTCTACAGAGACATAGACTCAAGTAAATTTGTTTGTGAGAATTCGTCTGTTTGTTCAGTTTTATTTGTCTACCATTATTTTATAATAGATATATCAGATAATAAAATCTGAGTTCACTAGATGATCAAAGTGAGAATAATCAGAATGTGAACATAAATTGCTCTATCATTTACGAATACATGTATTCTTTAACGAGTTATGTAGACTAGGTACCTCCCCACCTGGTGTATCAAATTCCGGAATAATCCGGATCCCCGAATTCTGGCGAACTCTATTATTTCTTTCACATCCTCCTGGGTATAAGTCAAGGAAGGATGATAAGCTCCCTAATGAAAGAAAAATGACCAGTATGCTTACATTGTTATCTCGTATATCAAACACTGTTTAGAGCATGTATTTTTTTATTTGAAGATTATTAAATTCCACCTTTCCGTATTAAAAATATTGCTTGGAAAAAAGCATAAGTTTCAGTTTGATCTTTAAACACGACGTTCCAGGATGCCATAAATCCTACAATTGTCAATACGAACCTTTCCGCTAAGATCAGGAAAAGTTCGGCTCCTGTAAGGGAAGGACTGGTCGTCAGAGAGATGCCAGTGAAGGACATTCATTTTGTTCATCTCCATGGCACTCTATGGTAAAAAAAACATAGTTTTAAACTTGGCAACAATAGACATTTTTTGTTATATTGTCTATCGTCTGACTCTTTTTATATTTTGCTGCAATAAGAATGTGATTCAGCCATGGATTCCTTACCAGCATTTGAAATATCGTTGTTTTACTCATGAAGTGTCTTGCTGAATCAATTAATACTCCTCTATGTGGAAACCTTGGAAAGTCTACGATCCTAGTTTTCCTAATAATAAACTGAAAAGACAATAACTACGAATAAGACCCATCTGCCATTTTTTGCTGAAGAATTATTGAAGAGTAAATTTAAGCAACAGCTACCAGTCCTTGTAGCCGATACAAGTTGAATAACTCCTCTGTTATTATAAATTTGTAGGCGTATATAAATATTTTGTAAATTTGATATTTTTTTTAAACTTAGGCAAAATCTGAGAAACTTCGACTTACGAGAGAAACACTTAGAATTTTTAATTAAGTAAACTTAAGTTTATAAACTATATGTATGAACATGTAGTTTACATAATATTTTGTTAAGTGTACGTAGTGAGAAGAATAAATATTGATATCAATTTTTGTATTTAGTAATAAGTATTATTTGTTTGATATTGTTTCTTTTGTACAGTCCTTTTGCCTATATTTTTTTTAATTTATGAAGAACAAATACAAATCAATCTTGTATATTTAATCAATCTTGTATATTTACCGACCCCGTGGGGATCCGGGTAAGAATATGTCCTCAGTACCCCTTGCTTGTCGTAAAAGGCGACTAAATGGGGCGGTCCTTCGGATGAGACCGTATAAACCGAGGCCCCGTGTCACAGCAGGTGTGGCACGATAAAGATCCCTCCCTGCTCAAAGGCCCTGAGTGTCGAGCATAGGCCTAAATTTGCAGCCCTTCACCGGCAATGGTGACGTCTCCATATCAGTGAAATATTCTGGAGCGGGACGTAAAACAGTATACAGTGTATATTTACCGTGTTGTTGATGCAGATGATAAGCTGACTTAACGTTTCCAGAGCTCGTAGTGTACCCCAGACATCTTTTGCTTCTATCCTGATTTCACCGTTAGATGTTCTTAATGTGTCTACAACACGTTACATTACTTAAACTGAACATAGATTAGATGCAGAACTTTGGCGTTATGGTTTTATAGTTTATATGTTTATATGTTAATCGTTGACCATAACAAGATAAGATGGTAAAAGACTAACATATTAAACCATAGCACTGTCGCTCTGCAGCTAGAACTTATTACAAGAAAACATCCTTTCCAAAGCTGTTATTTTAATGATCAAGGTTGAAAAGTAGATAAATTAAATAATGATATTGTATTTAAAAAGTCTGATGTTGTTAAACTTCAATCATGCCGAGATAAGGGGAATGATTCAGAATATTACTATATATAAAACATCTATACTTACAGGACTCGTCGGACGATAAGGTTGGATAATCCGAACACCTCTCAACATCAAAAGTAAGTTTTGTTAACTCTTCTAAGGACGTTAGGTATTCGTAACTTGGTTTTTGCATTGAAAAACCAAAATTGGAATTTTTCAAGTGCAATAAATTGTTTGTAAATTGAACATTACTACAGGTGAAAAATATATTCATGTATCTTTGTACTGCTTTTTGCAATATATGACAGTTAGAAAAATTTGCTTTCACAGAAAGTTTCCTGATTTTATACAGTTTTGTATCAGATGTTTCAAAAGTCTGCGGTCTCGGCCAAGGCATGCCTATGGTAGGAATAGGGGCTCGGCGGATATGAAAAGGGTGGTGTAGATGGTTACTGGTAGGAAAATCCAAGTTCATGTTTTGCTCAAACCACCTGATATTCGGCTTTTCATGTACGTTGGCGTGTCTTTCTAGAATTGTTTTTCTTTTGTTTTGTATCCAGACATTGTGAAGCACTTGTTTTTTAACTAATTTGTCAACACGTATCACTCCTTTGTGTTTTTGTTGTTTATATTCCTTGTCTAATTCTCCTTCAATACAGAAAGAAACCATATAAATTGATATTAAATGGAAAGTAGGTAGGATAAATCCCTGTGAAATCTTCCCACGTTAACATGCAATGTAAAATTCTAGAAAGTGATACATTTCTTGAAATGTTAAATTATATTCTTCTATGGAATATGAATTTTGGCATGTTTTTGCCTTTTTATACTTGACTAAAGAAAAATAAGAGATATCAAAACAAACCTTGTAGTCTCTTTTGTAAATTATCTTGCGTTGTTATTGTAATATAACAGGAAAACAAAAACATCCTCTTGATTTCAAATCTTCAAAATAGAATAAAACTGTTATAACCATAAACTTCGTTTCGGTATCATTATTTCATAACTTTTTATGCATGAAATTTCTATAAGGTTTATTTGAAAATGATTTTTAATTTTGAACAAAACTAATATTCGAAAAAGGCAATATCGAAAATACTTCCTTCAAATTTAAGACCGATGAAACAAAAATTACCTCGCAAAAGGAGTCGTGTACGATTGTTTCGAATATTGCAGGAAGTTTCGATCCTGGATAAAGCCCTAAATCCATTTAGTTAGAAAAATTTATACATTTACAACATGCCTTTTTATAATCCTGGAGTAAAATTTATTTTATTATTTTTAAATCATGTTTCCATGATTGGATGTCTTTTTATCTTTAATTCTTTCAACCAGATGTTAGTAAGAAACATGCAATATCCGTAGCCAGAACTTTTTTTTAATACAATTTGGAAGAAAGGTTTGGGTTTTTTTTACTGACATTGCATTCATCATTTTTACTCCTTCTTTATTTGAACAAAGACACCTTTTGTAATTTTTTTAAATGTATTTGTCTTAAAATTAGCGTCTTCTACCTATTCCAACTTTTCCTATGTTGGGCAATCAAGGAATCTTTTTTAGACCTCTCGAGCATTTTTTTTATTGACTATTGTGTTTTCATTTTTTTTTAATTAGAAAAAATGAAATTGTTATTAATAATTTTGAAACAAGAGACTCTGTCCAAGCTTAAACAGAATACATGTATAATAAATAAGACAAATATTATAGAAACATTCCAGCAACAGATATTCAGAGAAGTTAACTGTATTTAACAGTGTTGAGAAATACAAATTCATATAGCTTTTAAAGATTTTTTACCATACGTCTTGAAAAGAAAGTTCAATTTTAAAGATAAAGATATGTATGTTTACTAACTTACTTTTTCATCTTGTTGCTCGTCTTTATCCTTCACGCTGAATATAAATCATCTTCCCTTTCAAATTTTAATTTTTTTTTTCTCGATAATCGATATAATTAAAATCTTCCAATGAAAAAAAATATATAAAAACTTCTGAATGCATGCGTTTGTCGAAACAAGCTGTTGCGCCGCTGATTCTTTCATCATTACGCTGACTGGACTATATGTTAACTTCATTGACGGGAATAAAAGATGAAGCATGAGGAGAAATGCCGGAGGATTGTGTCTTTATTCCTGGGGCCCTAAACAGGCCCAGTGATGTGGCATACTTATAAATTACCCCACATCTCTGCAATCAATTTACCTGGTTTTCATTTTTTATAACCATTTTTGTACATTCCTACACTTTATTTTAAAATACTTTGGAAAATACATCGACGTCTTCTTATGAGATTCATTAAATCCTCATATATTTTGGATCGTTGCTTTGGATTCTGTCCTTTCTGGCATATTTTATTCTATCAAATAAAATCTTCTTGCAGATTTTATTTGATAAAATGAAATATGTCAGAAAGGACATTTCACGTTTGATATCACGTACATCAGATGTTGTATTAGTAACCCTGAAATACAAGGGGGAGGGGGGGGGGCATTTTTTATTATAATATTGCTCTCAGAATAATTTTATTGTTATATTTCCGCATTTTTTTTTATTTTATGATCTTGAAACCTGGTGAGACCCATCACACCATATTAGTCTTGTCAATAGTTTTAGCGTGTATCTTTTTTGTGATTGGGCATAATCTATCACATCTGATTTCATCTTTGAGGCATTCAACAGATGGGGCGCACGCACGATCATTTTAGCAAAATATCCTACCAGTTTGATTATATTGATCAACATATCGTTAAAAAAAATATTTTAAACGGTATATATAAAGGAGAAAAATGATAAATATTGTAAGCTGGTTTAGATCTTGTTAAATCGACATAAAAATGTTTTCACTTTTTTAATCGAACACTACTTTCAAAAATAATAATAATAAAAAAAAAACACTTAATTTTGTACTTGTTTGAGAACAATACTCCGGCCTTCATTTACATAGCCAGAAACAGATCTGGTAAAACGATAACCTTATAACCTTTTTAAATGGCTATCAAGGAGAGGGAGGACTGTCAACAACCAAATCATCCATATAGTTAAAGACAAATAAATTTATTGTAAATTCCAGCAAAAAATGCATAATTCTGTTCTAGATCCTTAGAAAAATGAAATACTTGTATGACGAAACAAGAAAAATTCATCTCAAAATAAATGTTTTTTAATAAAAATCTACATTTATGCACAGGGCATAAACGTTGGAAATACCAGGGCTGGATTAGATGGCTTAGAGGTGTGAGCTTCCGCTCTTGGCGGGTCACTGTCCCTACGTTTTGATCAAACTAAAGGAATGTTTCTCTGTCAAGTTAAGAATAACTATCCTGAACTGTCATTGCCTAACTCCTTTTGCTATGTAAAAAGTTGAAAGTCTTCATTTTGCAAGTTTTATGGTCGATATAACGTCCTTGTCAGCAAATGCAATTCATCATTGAGTCAAATGCTGACTGACGTTTTTCATACTAATTGTTAGTCCATTATCTATACACTGAATTGACGAAGGATTTTTCTGTTATTTCTCGATCATGACAAGGGGTACACGAAGGGTGTGACCGGTCGGCAAGGGAAAACTCACTCCTCCATGGCACCTGATACTATCTCTGATAATTTAGAGGTCCATGTTTGCTCTGCACCTGAATTGTACTGTTTAAATGAACTTTTGAGCTTTGGTACTGTACTCAACGTTACTAAAGGACTTTTACAAGAAGCACTGACTTTTACAGTTGACTGTTTACTTGGACATTTAAACCTGTATCATCTACGGAGGTACAGAATTGATAATGGATAAGAAAACCTTTCTAGTGGTCATAGTAATGGTGTTAGGGGCACTGATAAGCGAAGGCTTGGATTTGAGGGTAGGATGGTTGTCGTAACTTTTCTTCAAGGACAACTTATCTGTGCTTTGAAATAGCCCGTTATTTTCGTTGAATTAAAAATTGAGCTAAATATTTATATTGTACATTTTGGTAGTGTAAAAGTAATCCTTCAAATGTAAAAGTCAGCGCTTCTTGTAAAAGTCCAGTATCTAATACATATTTCAATCAATAGGTCAGTTAAATTACACCCCAATGATAATGACCGTAAAATTTTCAAAATACTTATTTTCAATTGAGGCTTTTGAAATCTTTGTAACATCAACAAAGTCTGTTAGAAGCCTGTCAGAATTGAATGTACTTTGAACATGCTTTAGTGTATTAATAATGAGGTCAGAGTACATAAAGAGCAAATGCAATGGAAGCAAAATGAATTTAAACTATACTGTAGATACACTGTATCGGATTCCGAAACTTAATAAAAATCCTTACAGACAAAGATACATTGCGGGTTCCAGTAAATGTTATACCAAACTTCTTTCGTTACTCCTCACGAAGATATTGACAGAAGTAAATGTAAAACTTCAAGAGTTCTGTGCAACAATATATTCAAGAAGTGGTGTGAATCAGATGTGGATACTCAAAAATTCCAAAGAACTTTTGGACAATTTGAAAGCACAAGATTTTACCAAAATCAACAGCTTAAAAACTTCTGACGTTTCAACTATATACACAACCATTCCCCACGATAAATTAAAGTCCAGGCTTTTTAATACCATTGACAGCTGCTTTTTCAATAAAAATGGAACTCGTAAATTAACTTACCTGGTCATTGGTCATTTGCAAAATTATTTTGTTAAAACACATTCTGATTGCACCCACAAGTACTCTGAAGTTGACAACAAAGAGATGTTTGAGTTTCTGATGTGTTTTTGGAGACCAAGTATTCCAAAAATCTATTGAAATTCCTAAGGGTACCAATTGCGTTCCGCTATTAGTAGACCTATATTTATATTCATATGAAGCAGAATTTGTGCAAAATCTTATGCGTGAAAAGAAAACACTTGTTGTGGCCTTCAACTCGACATTTGGATATATCGACGACGTATTGTAAATTAACAATGGTCATTTCCATTCCTACGTCGATACAATATATACTGGTGGACTTGAAAAAGACATTAATGGTAATCTAACAACCAAGCTTTATGATAAACGTGATGACTTAAACTTTTCTATCGTCAACTTTACTTACTTATGCAGCAATATACCTTCATCACCTGCATACGGAGTATACTTTCTCAGTTGATTCGATACGCAAGAGCAAGTGTTGTGAGATGTGTATTGTTTCATTATGTATATAATTAGTAACATTAAGTTTCTTGAACATTCCAGAGTGGTCAACATGTTCGGTCATTTTATCTAGAACATTCTTAAATTTTGTGTATGTCCAGATTGTTCCAGTAATATCATGTTTTAACAATTTCTAGAATATTCTAGATTTATATTACTGTATAAATACCCTGTCAATTCGATGCATAGTAATACTTTGTCGTATAAGCACTATTGAGATATAACTGGGATATATATTTTCACTGGGACATTGTGTGCAGAAACGGACACTCTGATGTATGTATTTTTAGATTCTTGCTAAGTTTGTACTTTATGTTTGATATATTTATTATATATTACTGTAAATAAATTATTGTTAAGTTTAAATTGTGTTATTGATCTTTGCTGGCATTTCGGGTAATTCTGACCCATAACAGAATTGGGGGCTCGTCCGGGATAAAGAATTTCTTGCACTTTTGCAGTTTATTGTCAGAATTTTGTTTATTGAACCGTTAAATTTGATTATAAGCCAGCAGAAATCAACATGGTATTTTCGGTCACAGACTTTCTTAGTTCACCAAGTGTTCAGGTTTTTGATACTTTAAAAAAGGATGACTTGATCGCATTAGGTTTGCATTTTGGGTTAGATGTTAAATCCTCTCAGAGAAAGCAAGACATTAGAATTAAGGTTGCAAACAAACTAGTAGAAGAAAACGTCTTTGAAAAATACGATCTTCCAGAATATACAGTTAAATCAGAGTTAAGCTCTTATAAAATGGCAGAATATCAGTTTCAAGTAGAGTTA